CTGCCTGTTTAGCCCCGCCCACCGATTCTACAGCGCTGCCTGTTTAGCCCCACCCACCAATTCTACATCTCTGCCTGTTTAGCACCGCCCACCTATTCTACAAGGCTGCCTGTTTAGCCCCGCCCACCGATTCTACAGCGCTGCCTGTTTAGCCCCACCCACCAATTCTACATCTCTGCCTGTTTAGCACCGCCCACCAATTCTACATCAGTCTGTTTAGCCCCGCCCACCGATTCCACAGCACTGCCTGTTTAGCCCCGCCCACCGATTCTACATCACTGCTTGTTTAGCCCCACCCACCGAATAAAAAATATTTAAAAACTAATAGAAATGAAAAATCACAAAATTAGTAAAACTACAAAAAAACCTAACAAAATCTAATTCATTAACTGAAATTAAGCTAAAATAAAATATAAATATTAGATACAAAAAGACGAAAATTAGAAATGTTGCCTTGGCAACTAAATAAAATTTGTTGGCATATTAAAATTACTAAAACTAAAACGGAAATAATTTTTTCCTAAAAAATTCATTTTCATGAATTAAAAAAGCTGGTATAAAATAAAACGGAAATATTAGATGGAAAAATTTAAACGAAAATTTAAAATGTTCCTTTGGCAACTAAATGAAATAAAAATAGTATAACCCTACGAATTATAGGTATCATATTTGATATGTAAAACATATTTTTTCAGTTTTGATTTTAATATATTGTCAATAAACTGTTCCATTTCAAAAATATTTTTCTGACTTTAATTTCATATGTCAGGCTTGTGATGTAATCTGCCTCTCTATCTATGGCAACAGCGGTGTGTTTGGCGTTACCATCGTATCAGTGTACTCCTCCAGTTTGGCTGTAGTGATCTGTCTGTTGTGCTGATGGAAAAGATCCCGCAGGAAACTCTGACATCATCAAACAGAGACCACAGTGTGAGTACAAACACACACTCTCTCATACTCACACACTCATACTCACACACACACACACACTCTCATTACTCACACACTCATACTCACACACACACACACTCTCTCATACTCACACACTCATACTCTCACACACACACACTCATACTCACACACACACACACTCTCTCATACTCACACACTCATACTCTCACACACACACACTCATACTCACACACACACACACTCTCTCATACTCACACACTCATACTCTCACACACACACACTCATACTCACACACACACACACTCTCTCATACTCACACACTCATACTCTCACACACACACACTCATACTCACACACACACACACTCTCTCATACTCACACACTCATACTCTCACACACACACACTCATACTCACACACACACACACTCTCTCATACTCACACACTCATACTCACACACACAAACACACACACTCTCATACTCACACACTCATACTCACACACACAAACACACACACACACTCTCATACTCACACACTCATACTCACACACACACACACTCTCATACTCACAAACACACACACACACACACACACACGCACTCTCTCATACTCACACACTCATACTCTCACACACACACACTCATACTCACACACACACACACTCTCTCATACTCACACACTCATACTCTCACACACACACACTCATACTCACACACACACACACTCTCTCATACTCACACACTCATACTCTCACACACACACACTCATACTCACACACACACACACTCTCATACTCACACACACAAACACACACACACTCTCTCTCACACACACTCACACACTCTCTCACTCACTCACTCACTCACTCACTCACACACACAGGAAGTGACGTCACCTTCAGCTCGGCGGCAGAGATGTATCCACTGCTGTCGGTGTCGTAGCAGCGCCAGATCTGAGAGCAGACAGACAGAGTCAAGCTTTAACTGAGTGACGGTCAGAGAGAGAAGCACATGATGAGCTCAGCTCTGACCCTCATGAACTCCACGCTGTTCTCCAGCGGCGTCTCCCGGCGGAACAGCAGCAGGAAGTTCTCCTGCTCGGGCAGAAGCGCAGCCGCCACCTGCAGCAGACGACAGCGCAACATCACAGGAGAACTCGTGATGTGGGTTAGTAATGATGACTCGATCCTGTACCTGCTCCATCTGCAGGAGTCCGTCTCCTGTGACGTCACAGCGGGACACGAGCGTCTCTCTGAGCGCCTGCAGCTGCTGCTCCGACACGTCACGCTACAACCACAACAACACCACCAGCAGCATCACTGAGATACTATTATAGCTTTTTATTCATATTTACAATGAGCTTTTATATTTTCTGTTTTCATTTTGAGGAAGTTTTAGTAATTTTGTTGCATTTTTGTCATAGTTTGGGATTTTTTAAAATCATTTTTATAAATTTTATTTCATGTAAATTTTTTATTTTTTATTTTTTTTGAGTTACTTTAGTACTTCAAGTTAAAATAAATGAAAATGAGAAAAGTTTTCTATGCCAGCTAGCTGAAATAACAAATTGTCACAGGGTCGAGTTGGTGTGCCCTTTATAGCCACCAGAGGGCACACTTTGTAGTGGTTTTGTTTCTCTTGACTTCAGTTCCCTTCACCCTTTGCTTTGACAATCATGTCTCATTTCATTCAGCTGGGTCTCATTTACCTTCTTAACATCCTCCATATAAGCCTGGGTTTCTTTGTCTTGTTTGCCGGCTGATTATTTTCTGTTATGTGTTTTCTGATGCTCTGTTTGTTTTTGGATTTTCCAATAAATGCTGCACTTGGATCTGTTTGTTTTGGAGTGTTCCGTGACACAAATATGTTACAAACACGATACAAATATTTTATTTCTAATAATGAAAGCGTTTTTTTTTTTATGGTTTTAGTTTTGGTTAACTATAAAAACCCTGTGTTACCCTCAAATTTAAGTCCTTTTACACTGTTCAAAAGTTTGGTGTCAGTAAGACTGTTTAAATAAATGAATACTTTTATTCATTGAGGATGCATTAAATTGATCAAAAGTGACAGTAAAGACATTTATAATGTCACAAAATATTTCTATTTCAAATAAACGCTGTTATTCTGAACTTTCTATTCATCTGTGAATCCTGAAAAATAAAATGCATCACAGTTTCCACAAAAATATCGTGCAGCACGACTGTGTTCAACATTGATAATAATCAGAAATGTTTCTTAAATCAGCATATTAGAATGATTTCTGAAGATCATGTGACACTGAAGACAAATTCAGATTTCAGAAAACAGCTGTTTTAACATAATATTTCATTGTTTTTTTTTTACAGTGTTTTTGATCAAACAAATGGTGAGCAGAAGAGACTTCGTTCAAAATAATTAAAACAGTAGTACATAATGAATAATTAATTAACCAAACACACACAAACAACTGAGATGGACGAAAGATCTGGAGATAAGAATGTGAAATAAAGCATTACTCAAATTAAATAAAGCTGCACAAACGCACTTCACAATCGAGACAGACAGAAGTTTGTTGGTTTGAAACGTGAACACTTGCAGTGTTTCAGATGAAGACGGTCTGTGTGTGTGTTTGTGTGTTTGTGGGTTAGTTAGTGGATGCTGCTGCTAGTTAATGTAAACTTCACACATTAAAAATCTGATTCGAACACATCAGGACTTGAAGAAAGGTGAAGTCAGTGAAGAGAGGAGAGTGAAGAAGCGCTTTACTCACGGTCTTCAGTGTCTTCAGCAAGCAGTGTAAGAACTGGTCCAGTGTCCTGCGCTCGAGGAGTCCGTCATCTGCGGGAGAAGCAGAGGTCAGCAGCGGCTCAGACTCGTGTCTCAGGAGGAGTCTGTACACTCACCTCGGTTGAACTGTGTCCAGGTGTTGAGGAAGACAGCGGCGCTCAGTCCTCTGAAGACGCTCTCCATGACTGCGGTCCGATCCACAGCTGCAGGCTTCCTGCTCCTCGCGCTCCTCCTCTCCTTCATCATCATCATCACACCCCCGTAATGAGCCGTCACCGGAGACAACACACAATCACACACAGCTGGACTCACATGCGCAGAACCGCATTTATTCAGAGCACATACAAGAAGAATGGAGATCTGCATTATTAATCAGATACAGCCACACATCTGTTGTTCTCGTCGCTCTATACAGACGAAACCCTCCAGATCCTCACGATAAACACCACACTGAACATCACTGACAAAAACCATCGACAGATGCAAACACAGAAATATGGTGCAGGACCAACACTTTCACTTTGAGAGAAGTTCACGAAAAATTATAAGGAGACAGCATTGACTTAAACATGAAATCCTGGGTTACACTTTATTTTGATAGTCCACTTTAGACATTAGTGCAACTACATGTCTACCAACTCTCATTCATTTGCAACTACATGTACTCTCAGAGTGGACTGTCAGGGTAGGTTTAGGGTTAGTACACTGTAAAAAACAATCTGTGACATTTACGGTAAAATACCGGCAGCTGTTAGGGTAGCAACATTTGAGGTTTTACAGACTTAACTTAAATTCACAATAAAAACGTTGGGTTGAAACAACCCAGCATTTTTTAGAGTGTAATGTACACAACTGATAATAAAAAACTTAGAAGAAACATGTTATTTCAACAAAAAAACATCAAATATTAAGTGTCATGCAGGGAATTTTCACTGTATTTTTTACTGTAAATTATACAATGACTTTTTATTTTTCACTTCCAAAAACC